GATAATTTTCAAACAACACGCATGATGTTTAGCTCCAAGACCTGAATCGAAGCGTGATTGTCTGCATGGAGCTTAGATTTTACAGATCCCCTGGAAAAAGTCTAACTGTGTCGTACCGCACGGTTTTTGGTGGCTAATAGAACGGCCAAAAACGTGAAATTATCTGCTCGCGGAAGTGTTGCCTCAATAAAACCATCGAATGATGGGAAGTGTGGGAAGTGGCGCCGTCTTGTTGAAACCAAATGTCACCGAGATGACGACCTACAATTTCAGGCATGAAATACTTAATTATAATAGCGACATAATGATCGCCATTGACGGTAATTCTTGAAGAAATATGAACCGATGATTACATCAACCTACAAACCATATCAAACCAATGTTTTTCTCTTCAGGTTGTTCTTTGTCCCAAATGCCGTGATTTCGCTTGAGGCAGAAATGAGAGGCCCATTCGCTGAACAAAATTTGTCTCGACATGTCGGATCTTCTTGAAACTTTCAAGAGCCCATACTTGGACCACCCGTTAGAAATTGGGGTTCAATCGGATCAATAACTTTATTTAGTCCCCATGAACCTAATAGAAAAATTTCGAATTTCCTGCTGACTTTATACCGCCCATGTCGGCAATTATGTGATCTCTTTTAATTAGATTGAGGGATAAAATAGACTGGGTGAAAACTTACGCTAGACCTCATATAACATACAAACCTTATGCACCTGAAGGTATATCCCTGACTTTGTTTCTGGCAAGTTGTCATACTCTTGCAACTGTTCTGTTATACTCGAACTTGTTGAGCTTAAATTGATCAGTGTTTTTGTTGTAGGTCGCAAAGGAACTTCAAGTTGATCTTATCTCTTACAACTTCCCGTAAGTGATAAATTAGATTGAAACTAGCAGTACAGTTTTTGTGAAGTTTTTAGAGCATCATTAAATCCAGAGATTGATAAAGTCGTACCTGTACTGAACCGAAACTTTTATCTAGCACTTCGTACTTTTCCTGCAGGTACCATTGTTTGCACTCATCTGAAAATGGACGCAAACAAGTCGTATACACACACACATACGTTGAACAGTAGTAGTTGGTTTTCGGTTAAGTATACAAACAGTTTTATCTTCACATACCCTTGTAAGTGTTAAGTGTGATATGTTTTTACAGGAGTGCAGACCGAAATGGAATCGCTTTCCACTCATGCACACACACACACACACACACACACACGTGTACGCATTTATTTCAGTAACGCTAGAGCCACGCTTCTCTTCTGCGCGCCTTATTGTTGTTATAGTGTTTCTGCAACTTGTTACTCTTGTTGCTTTCGACTTTCGTTTTGTTATTGTTTTATGGCGCCTTGTCCATTTATTCATGGGTTTGTAGCGCCATGCTACAACACACACATACACATTACCGAACCGAACGCTGGCGTCCTTTTACGAAGTTATAGCTGCCGCATATAAATTCCCACAAAATAATCCCAACCATCAACGGGATGCAGATAAATATACGGAGGTGGAGATCAGCAAACGTATATTGCAGCAGAGGCAAGGAAAACCCGACGTAATTGTAGCAGCATACGTGTGAGAGAGGTATGAGACAGGACACTACAGCAGTTACTGCAGCTCCTTGAAAAATTGCAACAGGCGATATTAACAGCAGTACTTTGCCGTGAGTTGAGCACCAATAATAACGTCGAAAAATTGAAAGGGTGCAGCAGTGTTGGGAAAGGAAGCATTATTATAGATATATCATCGGTTAGTATGTACACGTATAATATATAAAATTTGTACGCAATTTGTCCTCATATTTGAATCATTATTGCTTGATATCTTCATCCTTCTTCAAAGTGAGAAATTATGCTTAACGAAACTTGAAACTGGTTCGTTTGATATATGTTTTCAAGGGTTTAGGGGTGTAAAGTATATATATAAATGATCAGTAGGTTGAGTAGATTTAGCCATATCCGTCTGTCTGTCTGTCCGCCTGTCTGTCTGTCTGTATATATACGAACTAGTCCCTTAGTTTTTAAGATATCGTTTTTAAATTTTGTAAACATCATTTTCTCTTCAAGGAGCTGCTCATTTGTCGGAACTGCCGATATCGGACCACTATAACATATAGTTGCCAAACAAACTGACAAATGGAACCAAGTTCTTGTATAGCAAACTTTCACATTTCATCTGCATCTTCACAAAAGTTGGCACAGGTTATTTCCTAAGATAATATAGAAAGACATTGTTCAGATCGTCTCAGTATATCACTATATCGTGGTATCTTCACGAAATTTGACATTGATTACTATAATGTAAAAGGTACATATATAGGGCAATACAAAAGTAGACCGATAAAGAAAGCAAATGACAGCACAGTTTTTCTCGCTCTTTTGATATTTCTCTTCAGTAAGGTTTGCCATTTCATCATGGAAGGATCAGTTCGACGAGAAATGAGATTCGGCACATTCTTCCATCCATCTGTCTAAAATGTAACTTAAGTGAAAACTAAGTTGTCCTAATGAGACTTGAATCTGGTATAAACTTTGCATAAATGATAAATAATGGCTCTATGGTATACCATCTCCGGCTTAAAATTTGTCAAAATTACTGTGAGAAAAAGATTGTAAGCCTTTGTTCATTGTTTAAAAATTCTTAATTTTATTCTGCAAAGCCAATTCCGGAAATAGAATCCAATGTGCATTGTGAATCACATGTAATATCTTCAATTGACTCTAACCGGTTTCCCCTGCACAGTCGTTTGGGTTTGCTGAATAGCCAGAAGTTAAACGGAGCTAAATCAGACCAAAACGGTGGTTGCGGAACGATATTGGTTGAAATTTTGTCGTAAGACTTACGAGGGATTAATGTAGTTTGTATGCAGCGATGGTGCATTATTATGATGCAAAAACCAATAGTTGTCGGAACATAATTCTGAAGGAACTCGGAGTGCACCACACCTGGATAATCACCTGTTTCTGGGTCGTAAACATACATCCAAAACCCATCGCCAGTAATAATATGCTTCATGGCGTCCTGGTAGCCGGAAAGCATTGTTTCACAGACGTTAACGGGATGCTGTGATGTTCGAAAAAATTTAGTGATTTAGAAATCAATTGTGCTTTCACTTTCTTAAGCTGAAATGATCTTGCAAAATAGTTGATCCTTCCGATATTCCAAATAACCAAGAAATACTATGATGGCTAATGGTCGATTCTCAGGTACTAATTCTTGTACCAAATTGTACCAATCAAAAAATTTGCTCGCGACTGACAATTACCACCGAAGGTGATGAAACTTCTTTGTAGTATGAGTATCCCAGTATTTAAGGCTAACTT